CTTTTTTTATGCTGGCTAGTTAGGTGACAAATTTAAAGCATGCTGGCTCGTTGACGACCTCAACGTCGAGTGCTGGCTGGGAGTCCGATAACTTCAAAATCATGCTTGCTGGCGGTGAAGAGCGGGTATTTTTTTCCCAGGAAAGTTAAATATTAAACAAGATTGACGTAGCGACACTCGGGTAATGTTAAGCACACTGTACGGTGGATTTTCTTCGAAACTGTCGTTGGGTACTCCTGCAGAGAGAGCTTCGCTCCGTTCTGCGTCCAGACCACCATCGTCCAGATAAACAACAGAATGTATGCCCTGAGACCTCCAATGTTTAACTAACGGTCTAAAGAGCTTGGTGAATATATAGGGAGCCGACGATAGTCCAAAAGGAAGAACAGTAAACATGAACAACTGTGTGTTTCCATCAAGCATAACCCAACTGAAACCAAGGTAGGACTGCTGTTCAGGAAAAATATTTAGGTGGTGATGACCGCTTTCTAGATCAAACTTCGTAAAGAAACAACTATTTTCAAAATAATCTAGGCCTACCCTCCAACCCTCAAATTTAAACTTCTGTTTGAACACGTGCTGATTGACGTACCTTAAATCTAGTATCAGACGCTTCTTCTCACAACTTTGGATCGAAACCTAGAGAGGGTTAAAACCTTAAGATGAGATAAAACACAATATAAATAAAGCAGGCTCAAAACTCAAAGGGCATCAAAGCTATTGTATCATTTAGTGGTAATAATTTAGTACAGATTCAAGTCATTTGTGGTGCTGTAGGAAAAAGAGGGTCGTTGATTCTAATTGCGTTCGATAGAATGCAGTTCTAATCGGGTAATGTAGGAAAATCGAGTTTTCCTGTATGCATCTTTTTGTGGACACCAATTTGGTCCCCCGAAAAATTCTTCAGGGGCGAATGACTATGGTTAGCCAAATGTTGTAAAATTCAACAACTTGGACCTTCATATTCAACAACTTATATTTATGTTCAACAACATATCTTTATATTCAACATTTTATATTTATATTCAACGATACGCATTTTCTTTCAACTTCAACCCAAATTATTTCATTCAACAAAAACATTTGTTCAACTTCAACCAAAAATAATTTCATCTAACAAAAATATTTGTTCAACTTCAACCGAAAATAATTCCATTCAACAACAATATTTGTTAAACTTCAACCCAAATTGTTTTCATTCAACAAAAATATTTGTTCAACTTCAACCAAAAATAATTTCATTCA